AAATATAGTTAATGCAAATTTATATTAAAGTGTGAGTTAAATGTAGAGATCTAATTAATTGTGTTTTAATTAAATATATAATTTTCAGTTTTAAAATTAAGGGGGAATCTCAAAAATACCCCTTTTCCAATACCACTTTTAAAAATACCCCTCTTTCTAATTTTATCAAAAAGTCACAATAAAAATTGAAATTTATCAATAAAATATGTATAAACTTATATTTATAGACACAAATTATCTTTACATGTGTGTAAATTTATATATATATTTCATAAGTACCGTATAAATACCTTTTAAAAATCATATAAAAAGCTTATAAAAAATGTGTAAACCTTTTAAAAACCTTATAAAAACCATATAAATGCCGTTTAGAACCTTTTAAAACCTTCTAAATATTTGGATTTAGTCTCCCAGTAGTAATGATGATCTTGATGTACCTTATCAACCATATAAAAGTTTATAATTTTTCATATTTGAAGAAGGGTATTTTTGAAAATGAATAGAAAAGAGGGGTATTTTTAAAAAGGGGTACACCAAAAGGGGTATTTCTCAAAAAATTTCTAAAAGTAAAGTGAGAGATCAATATATATGATCAATTGTGTTTTATTTGTGGTTTGTTTCACTTTCTTCTTATTGGTCTATTTTTCTATAAAATGTTATTTTTTTAAATTATGTTTTCAACTAAACCAAAAATAAAACACATTTAGATATATATATTAACTGACACTTTAATATAAACCTAATGAAAAAATTATTTTAATCAAACCATAAATAAGAAAAAATTTGATCATCTATATTTATATTCAATTAAAACACAATTAATTATATACTTTTATCTCACACTTTAATATAAAAACTGAAATAATATAAATTTGCATTCACTATATTTTTGTACTCAATTTTAGTCAACACTCAATAAATTAGAATTAATTCCTACAATTTGTTCTTCTAAATTGTAACTCTCGTCACTTCTCATCTTATAAATACTCATTTTCTCATTCTCTCATTCCCTCCTCCTCGTCACTCTCTCATCTTACAATTTGTTTTGTTTTCTGTTTTTTTTTTGTTGGTTGTTTTTTGTTGTATGAGTTAAAAAACAAAATTAATTTGCATTGTAAAAGTTTAATCTAAATTTTAATTTTAGTACTATATGATATATATTTACATTGTTTTATATGACACTATTTGGATTGTTCTTCCAAATATCTTGAGAGTAGGAACAACTGAAAAATAAATGCTCTAATGTTTCCTCATCTTGATTGCACCTCTTGCAGATATGAGAAATGCAAATACCCCATCTTTTTAACTCAGTAGTTGTAGCAAGAGCATTGGAAAGTATTCGCCAGAGAAAATGCTTAAGCTTAGGAGCCACTTTCATCTTATAATTAATCTCTCTCTCTCTCTCACATTCTCTTTCACTACATTCATGTATCTTAAATATTTTTCTATTTTTGTGTTGTTATATGGATTGAAAATCAATAAAAGTATCTTTCTAAGAATTTGATCTTAATTTGTTTTAGAAAGTATGATATATATCAAACATAGTTTCAATTTTTATTTCTAATGCCTTATTATGCATACTTTTTCAATTTTTATTTCTAATGCCTTATTATACATATGTTTTCATACTTATGAGTATGAATGAAGAAAATATGATATAACACATAGGTAAAATAAAAGTTTTGATTGTTATATAAATAAAAGTTTCAATTTAAACCTTTAACAAATAACTTCTTCTATTTTTTGAAAATTTCAAATAATATTTTGTAATTCATTTCAATATATGTATAATTATATTTAGTTTTGATCCAATAGATTATTATAATATTTAATTTATTAAAAATTTGAGGTCTAACTGTTTAAAAATAAACAAAAAGTACTTGGTTTTAAAAAATTGGTCTTTATTTTTTTTTATCATATAGTTCATAAAAGTTAAATTTTGTTTAATTCATTCATCAGTTGAACAAGGTTTTTTCTAACTTTTCACCACGTTACTACATTTGGGGCACTTTGTTGATGACACGTGTTATCCTTTATTTTTAATTAATTATTTTCATTTTTATTTCTAACTAAACATTTATGTCAATCTTATTTCCAAATAATCATATAATTAGGTAACAATTAAAATAAAATTTTTATGAAAAAGTTTTTATGAGTAAAATTATTAATTGGGATCCAAAATTCATTTGTGTAAAGCAAAAGATATAACTAAAGTTATTTTCCTATAAATATAACTTGACATCTACTTATGAATCCAATTTTTAATACCTAAAGTTCTTTTGCCAAAAAAAAACAGATTATTTTATAATAAAATTTCATATTGCATATATATATATATATATATATATGACTTACAATCACATAATTAAAACATCTATTTTACATAACTTTTTACATTTTATAACAAATTTTTCATATCAAACAATGATATATATATATATATATATATATATTAACTATAGATATAATTCTTTTGTAACATGTGTTTATTATATAAGCCCATATAATATATATAGGATCATGACAATTATCGGCTCATATATAGTATATAATTAAAATTAATTAGATTCACCTATGATAGATTTCCTCTTTTCTTTACCACTAAAAAAATAAAATATATATCCTCTTTTTCCTAACAATAAATAGATTTCTTTTAATATCTAATTAGATGTATAGAAAAATATATACAAAATAACAAAAGATCCCGTACAAAATCTTATGATAAAGAAAAATATATACTTTCATTAAAAATTTTACAAATCTAATACTTATAAAAAATTCTCACATAAACTAAGTTTGAACATACATATCATATATCTTAGGCCATCAACATTTTCTGGGTTTATATATATCTACCTAAGATTGTTAAACGACACCGCAAACTATATTAAGACTATAACGAGTCATGATGGAAATAAGAGGAGATAAGAAGACAAAACAGATCCAAGCAGTAACAAGGCAAGAAGAAGCATCACTTGGCGGCTATTGGATTCCGTTCGATCTGACGAGGGAGATACTTGTGAGTCTGCCCTCAAAATCTTTGATGAGGTTTCGATGCGTCTCAAAGCAATGGGCGTCTATCACCTCCGATCCAGACTTCATCTACTCTTTCACGAAACAGTCGACATCATCGTCATCAACTACTTGTCTTAGCATGCTAAACTTCCAAAAACATGACAAACTATTGTTCTTGTCTTTTCGGGCGCAACAAAAGAATGATCATAATCTCTTTTCAGAAACTCACGTGGAAAAATATCGGCTCACTCTTCAGAAAAGAGATAGATACGCACCTAATTTTCAGTTTCAGTCCGTCCATGGTTTGATCTCTTTCCATTACTTTGACCATGTTGTACTTTGGAATCCTACCATTAGACAATACGTTACCTTTCACAAACCAGGGAATCCGGAGCTAGGTATACAAGTGTTAACAAAAAGCTATTTAGGATACGATCCTATTGGAAATACGTATAAACTACTGAGCATGACATATGGCAGCATTGATGCTGATCCTCGTGTTCTGACATTGGGAGCTGGTGAATCATGGAGACATGTCAAAGATTATCCTAACCGTTTTTTGTCATCTAAAGGGTTATGCATCAATGGCATCTTGTTTATTATTGTAAAGAATTATGAGATTCATAGGAAAGAAATTATGAGTTTTGATGTGAGGACTGAACAGTTCAAGATTATCCAAACCCACACTTGTATGCGGTGCCCGTGCATTGAAGTGGAGACTAACCCTTCACTAGTTAGCTACAAGGGAAAACTTGCTTGGCTTATCTCAGAATCAGCGTTTTACAAATTATGGATTCTTGAAGATACTGAAAAAGAAGAATGGTCGTGCCAAGATTTTCATATACCATCTCCTCTTGAAGTTCCTAGTACTGTGAAAGGCAATTACTTTTTAAGTGACGTCACAGAGGATGGTGAATTTATTTATGTTTCGGTGTCATGGCAAGACAAAGAGATTTATGTGTCCTACTACGATCCCAAGAGAAAAACTAACAGGAGGATCAAAATTATTGAAGATTTTGATGATGATTTTTGGCTCCGTAAGGGATCAGCATGTCCTCACGAATGGGAATTCCTTGGAACTTTTCCGAATCACATTGAGAATCTCTTGCCTGTAAACAAAATTACTTGCTCACCTTCTCTGTGATTCTCTATTTCTCTCTTGAATAAATGTGTTAGATTTTGTTGTGCCCATTTTTAACTCATTGAGCTTTTGTCCTATAATAATGCTTTGTCTTACTATATTTCTATCTGATCTATTAAAGAAAATTAATCCTTTGCAAAATAAGTAAACCCAAACGAACCATTTCAATTGGGCCAATTTTTGAGAAACATTTTCCTCAGATTGATACAATCGGAGCAGGTTTCAATAGAGTAGAACAAAAACAAAAGAATGAAAAATTTCAATTAACATATGGCTCTTTTGGATCAATTTACGTTCGTGAATGAGAAGAGAGATGTGTTATAAGAGGAAATGAGTAACCGAGTCCTCTAGTAACTGATGACTAGGACATACCATTTCCTTCACTTTCTCTCCCTCCTTATAAATTTTAAAGGTTGGAACTTTCTTGATGCTCTCTGCTTTCGCCAATGCCAAGCTCTCCTCCACGTCCACCTATAGATTATACCCGCGTTAGACCAGAATCGAAAACCTTTTTTTTTTTGCGGTAAATGCTACCGCAAATGCAATGGGAATGTACTAGCATAAGAATAAGTGTCTTGCCTTGAAGAAATGTACTAATGGATACCGTAAGCATAAGGTGTTGACAAATGGAGATATTGCTTCGCTTTGTCGGTTTGATGATGATTTGAAATGAAACACAGAGATTCCTGAAAAACGTTACCATTTACCTATTTTTAAAGCAATGAAAGGAATTTTTGAAACTTGAATTTGCAATGAGTTACTTAATTCCTTTATACCGGGAAGTGATGTTGCAGTCTTGAACTTATCTAAAGTCGATACCTCTTCAACTTCGTTATTGAATCCCAGGTATTTAGGCTCTTCGGATTTGTTCGATAGAGCGGTCTTTGCTCTCTGTAAAGAATCAGCAACCTCGCTGTCTCCTGGAAGTTCATTTCTCAATACTTCATAATCTCTAACCGCATCCTCCCACCGGCCAAGCTGCATTAAACATAAGCTAACATCGTCAACTAATAGTACTTGGAACCTCAGTTTGAAACCTATTCAGTTACTTTAATCAAACCTTTCCATATGAAGTAGCTCTTCGGAGAAGAGCCTTGGTGTAACTAGGCTGGATTCTTAGCGCTTGATTACAATCATCAACGGATTTCTCCCACATACCAAGTTTAAACCAACATGCCGCCCTATTACAATACAAAACCGAGTTGAAAGCATCAAAGTTGAGTCCTTCCCCATAAGCCACACTCGCTTCCGAGTATCTCCCTGAACTAAAGAGCTCGTTTCCGCTGGTACGAGCTTTCGCCACATTTTTCACATTGTTTAAGACCGATACTACCTCAGGATTATTGCTAAGATCAATTGTGATGGCTCCCTCCGCCTTTACAACTGCATTCTCAAATCTGCAACAAACCTATCATCTCTAAATCACTCACCCAAGAACCATACAACACTACTACTAATAAAGAATCAAAACACCTTTCGAAGTTTAAGTATTTCGAAGCTCACCTTCCTAACGCCATATCAACTTGAGCCTGAACACATAGCACATAAGCATTGCATATTATACCGAACAGTTTGGCAGGAGATTGAGTACTATGACGATGTTCCAATCTCGGAATGCTGGATAGACACAAATCCGAATCCTTAATCTGATGAAGCCGCAAAAAGGCTTCTGCTTTACAAGCTACAAGCTGCACAAGATCAAACCTCATTGTTTTTAAAGATCCAAGTCTATTGGCCGAGGATGGAAACACAAAAAGAGGCAATGCCGCATTTCGATCTCTAACCTGAGGAGAAGAATCAGCTCCATTTGCAATGGCTGCATCGATTTCGCTAATTACCGTTCTCCAGTCTCCAATCTTTCGAGCCTCGGTACACAGCCTGAGCTGCTTCTCAAGCGTCTGCAACCGCTGCAAATCGGCCTGATCGGGACATTGCCCGGAAAAACAAAGATGACGTCTCGCATTTTCAGCTTCCCCCAATCTAACACCAAAACAATCAAAGATTACTCCTTTTTCGATCAAAACAATTGGTTTCGAAATTGAAAGTAAAGATTTTTATTTAGACCTGAGATAGAGAGAAGCGAGTCTCTGGTGAGCTCTAGCGTAAGAAGGATCAAGTCTGACAGCTTCAAGGCATTCTTTAACAGCTTCCTCTAACCTCCCTGACGCAGCCAACGCCGCCGCACGATTGCTCCTGTAAGCTGGATTTTCCGGCGACAGTGAGATTGCTCTGTCGTAAAGAGCCAATGCCTCGGCGTAGTTCCCTTTCCTATACATTTCGTTACCGGCCTTCTTCACGTCCTCTGAGTCACTCATCCCCGGCGCTCTAGTAGCGTGGTTCGTCTTGCCGACACCGCTGCTGCGTATGATGTTGCCGTGGCCGTAATTGGCTGTCCCCGCGCATAGAGTCTCGGGTCTAACGGAGGCTCTTGTAGCCATTCCTGTTTTTAAGATCCTTCCCGACGGACAAATGTTTCCGGTAGGTAAAACGCCGGGATTCGGCGACGTGGCACCGCTCCCACCACCGCGAGAACCGTTATTGCTGACCGGAGAGAAGCCTAAACCGGAATAAATCAAGGGCGTTCCAGCAGAAGCGGATCTTCGGTGACCCTGTCTCGAACTCCGGTTCACGTTTCCGGATCCGGGTTTAACCGTACTGGTCTCGGTCAAACCGGAAAGCTCGCCGGAGTGACTCCGTCTAGCAGAAAACTGAGAAGTGACAGCGGGTTTACCGGAGGCAGAACCAGAGGAGCTAGAGCTGCTGCCACTGGCGGCGGGAGTGGCTGCGGCGGAGGCTGAGCCACGTGGCCGCAAAGGAGAGACCGGGGAACCGAAATCGAGTTCTCGGAAGTCGGGTTTGTCGATGACGTCATCGTCTCGTTGGAAACTCAAAGAATCGCGGAATGTACGGGAAATGGAGTCAATGGAAGGTTCTAAAGAATGTCTTCTATAATGTGACGACATCTTTGGTTAACCCAAAAAATAAATCGTCTCACACAGAGATAGGCTAAAAGAAGGAAGAAGGAAGAAGAAGAGTTATAGTGAAGAGAGAAAGAAGAGAGATCTTGTGATATATAAAAGGAAGCGGAAGAATGAGAATGAGAAGGAGGAAGATGATGGTGAAAACCACAAAAATAATTAATATTTTAGATTACCGTTAAAATATCTGATTAATTAACCAAAACGACTAATTCTGTGTTTATTTTTTTAAAATAAATAGTGAGAGACATTGATCTTCTAGTTTCCTAGAGCTTCTGTTTGTATATCACGCACGAGCCTCTCTCTTATCCTCCCCTGCCTTCCGTGTCTTTCACGGCTGCTTCTCCCTAATAAAATTACACTTAAATTTTTATGAAATTTTCATTTTCAAATTTTAATTTATTTAGTACTCCATATTATTAAATTTAGTGGTACTCTATATATATATATATAGATAGAGACTAATGTGTCTGTATGTAAGTTTGAATTTTAAGTATTAATTATATGTTTGAACAGAATCTAGATGAAACTTGTATTTGCCGACCACGAAATTCGTTAAAAAGTCAAAATATAATTAGTACTATTGTATGGTTTTTCGGGTAAATGCTTTTAATTTCTTACAGTCAATACTCATTACATGTTTATGATAAAGGACAATCAGAAAATATAATACACAATACGTGATAATAATAATAATACGGTTGTTATTATGTGTAATGAGAAATATATATACTGTAGCTTGAAATGAAAAATGCCACCTCGGATTTTAAAACCCAGGTACGTGTCAGAGTCAGAGACAACAAAAACTGAGGGTTAAAATCGTCTTTTGAGGCATGTTGTATAGGCAATTTTACTTCGGTACCGTACTGGCTCTAAGAAAAATTATGAATATAAGGAGTTTTGAATTCTATAAGCATTTCTTACATACGTATACACAATATTTTTTGTATTATACATTAAGACGAAAATGAAAGAAAGATAAAGAGAGCAAAAAAAAAAAAAGAGAAAGAAGACAAAATAAAGCAAAAGAGAGACCGAAGAAGGCTCATATCATTTACTACAGATGCATAGCTGGCAGTGTTGGATTAATAAGACAAAAATAATAATATAATTTAATTAAAAAACATCAATCAATGTTCTGATCTAATATTACCCCTCATTGCCATCTATAATACGGTGGTTCTGATATACTGTAGTGGTACTTAGGAAACGGTAAATAAGGGGGAGGGGGGGGGGGGGGGGCAAAAGAGTAAAAGAAAAGGAGGACGCTGGCCACGTGCAGTGTGACCATGCCAGGTGCCAGCTGGTTTCGCCTACAGTTTTGCCAGCTAAGCACGCCGAATGCATTTAACGGAACCGGACGGAATATAAATATATTATTACCCAAAGGGGCAGACAGATGCATTCGGTCCCCCACTCCCGCCGAACCGATATGGGCTGGTTTATACATTACACACCCCTTTCTCCATACCGGATTTTCCTTTTTCTGCCTCCAATTTTTTGGATCAATCGAACCGGCTTTTTCTAAAATTTTATTTTCTTCCTTCAAACCTTTGACCAAAACTAGCATGTATGTGATATAAGTAGAGAGAAACATCAAAGTACACACATACATATTCATAAGCAATTCAATTATATATGTATTGGTCCCCGACTGAAGAAGAAAATATACTCCAGAAAGAACAATATCACCATTTATACTCTCAAATATATGAACATAAAGTATGTACGTATATACAGTATTCTACACATGATTACAGTGTACAGATTTAAAAGCTAAAAAGGAAACTTAAAATCAAACTAAATTGGAACACTAGTATTATGTTAACAGTCACAAACCCAACTAGAAGCAAGACAACAAATTCAATATATACTGGAAAAAATATACAAAATTGCACATCAGATCAGAATTTATAATTCTATGCATGTTGACCATCACATAATACATATAGATATATAACAGTTTCTAGTTGCTAGCACATAACTAATTTGACGCTAGTTAGCATCAAACTTTGTTTCTTCCAATAATTGTTTCACATATATTACCACTCCCTCTCTCTCTCTCTCTCTCTCTCTCTCTCTCTCTCTCTCTCTCTCTCTCTCAACATGCATTCTTCTTCTTTCTAAAAAAAAGAGTTTCTCCTTAGTAGGAAAAGGTAGCAAAGTAGTACGTACCGATGTTGGCCGCAACATTTGACCCAATGAGAAAACGACAAAATACGAAGGAAATGGAAGAGTAAAAATATTTCACAGTGCAAATTGAGTAGTAATTTAATTAATTAGCTGGTAATTACGGTGCTTTACATCCTATGCTTTTATTGCTTGTTTATTATACTCAGTACAGTACAGTATGTAGTAAATATAATAACAAGAGATTTAGGGTCAAAAGGAGAAGGCAACAAAAAAAAAAAAAAGAAGAAGAGAAAATCTCCTATTCCTCCTGTTGGGGAACATAACTTTTATTATACTGTACACAAATTTTTATTTTTTTTTGGTTTTTTAAAGGAGAATTAAAATCAAAGTTGTAATCGATCGTAATTTCTCTCAAGGCAAATTATGTCCCCTTAATTATTGTTGGTGGTGCTGTGCTGGACGAATATAGATAGACCCACACTTGCAGTGAACTTATCTTTAAATAATTCGAACGTGACGTGTGTGTGTCTCTTACCCTGATTTTTTCACACTATACATAAAACTTAAAATTACAAAATTTTAAGCTAATCACTATTTAATTGGGGGGGGGGGGGGGTAAAATAAAACACAAACCGTACGTCACACATTATCAGATTATCAAATCTTTTAGAAGAAAATATTGATATGATTTCTAAGCAAAGCCAATAAAAGTTTCAGACAACATACAAATATGCTTCTATTTCTTCAATCAATAATATCACGTAATTATATACACAAACGACACACATGCATGCATGGGTTTATATTTCTCAAAAATTACTTTCATGCAAATCCCTTTATTACATTTGAACGGCACCGGCACATCACCAAAGCTGTTCCTAAACTCACGTACATCGGTACATGAAACATCGATCTCGGATGAATGTAGTTGTAATAGTTGCATTGGTTAAAACTTTCCCCTAATCGTCGTAAGAAATCTATTTTAACTGGACGTACGTATATGCTTTTGCTTTGGTCACCAAACGACTATATATGTTTTATTATAGTTATGAAATCCGTATAGTTTGTCAATTCGATTTTTCTTTACTAAAAAACACTCACATATGTATAGGAAGTGTTGAACAAAAAAAAAAAAATATGTATAGGAAGTGGTGTACAACATATATGCATACCCTAGCTATAATTGGGTCATCAAGGAGAAAACTATTTCGAATGCGTGAGTTGGAGACAATTTTATTATTATTAATTAGTCCGAAAAATCATCTACTTGTTTAATTCAAAGAATTATTCAGACATTACAACGATCTAGCTAGACACTTAACAATAATAAAAAAACAAATAGTTCTAGCAATTATTTATGTAAGCATATCACATTATTTGTATATATTATGTTTTGGTCTAACGGTATCCTTAATTAATTATATGTAAATTAATAGAGAGTAAATAAACACAATGATTCTCGATATACCACAATTAATGATTCTCGATATATACCACGACAAATAAACCACGTATGGGTATTATCTGTTTTTCTATTTCTTACTATTATCTTTTTTTTTTTTTTTGTCAACATCTGTGGTTTTCTAATTAATCTTTTTTTTTTTTAACGACAAACGACGCTTGGTTAAGCTCGATCTTAATTAATGGGTCATTAAGAGTATCCAATGTTTCATATTTTAGCTTTTCATAATCCAAATGATGTCAGCGAATACACAGTAAGCAATAATATATGTAGATCGCATTACCGTCCAACTCGCATTTTTCTTCAATAAAAATGTTGCACGTTTCATCGAGAGAGACTGCTAATTATACAGAATTATATATTAATCTGATTCTAATAAGATTTACTTTTTTCATGTACAGTACAAGACTACAAGGTATGCGAAGACAAAATACATATAATATCATGTTGATTTGTTCCAAAGATGTCGTTCGAATTGAACATTTTCTATTACTCTATTGTTAACCAATTGAATTGTATTAATTATATTGTTTTAGTAGTCTTACCCTTACGTCATGGTTGATGGAAGACAAAACGTCAATAAGTTTTTCTATAACTCAAAACGAAGATCGATTTTATACGATTTTTAATTTTGTGCAATTCTCATGTTGCATGTATATATATATATAAATATATATATTTTCTAAACATAATCTGTTGTATTTATATTATTATATATATCATTATATATTTACGTATAGTCGAGAAGTTTTGGATTTAAATTTCCAATTTTCTTAAACCAGAAACTAATTTGTATCATGATTATTCGATGCATGTTGAAACTAGCTCGTAGTATTCATTTTATCGTGGTAATTAAGTGACGTATGCGAAACTTAGACCTAATGTAAATAGTAATATTTTGCATCTATAGTCATATGAAATAGAAATAATATTAGCAAGTTGATTGGTTTATAATCCTAAATTATGCAATTATATAAGTACTTAAAAACAAAATAATCAGAGTAACAACATTATTAGAAATACTTCTTATTGGTTGCCACCTGAGGCTATATGCTCGAGCATGTGTGAGCATATGCCCCCAAGCTGTGAATTATCTCCTTTATCTGCATCATCGATCATCGCCATCATGATCAATATTAACAGATTAATTATAAGAAGTTTATTAAAATGTTTTTATTTAATTCATTTTTGGTTACTTATAATGATCATGAACGAGGAAAAAGTTCAAGAGCTTTTAGTACAGTATGCACGATTTATGTGCTGTTTATTTAACATCTCACATGCTAGTTTATTGGTTTTTTAAGAAAAGTTTTTATCTATATGAAGTTTACTTAATTAAACAGGAAATATCTATGAAGAGTATTAAATGAAGTTTCGAGGATATTAACCATCTTAAATATGATCATCACGTCTGTTTTTTTTTGTTTCTTTTAAATATAGTTTATATATATAGGTTTTTATTTGTATATATGGTGAAAATGATGGGTCATATATACTGTACTCTTGTGGTTTGATCAAAATCATGGTTGAATTGGTATTAACAGAAATAATCACAAGACATTGGTGTCAAATCAATATCATATATGATAATGATTTCACACTAAACACCAAGATTTGTTTTGTCTTTTTAACAAAAACAAAACGCAAAGATTTTGTCTTATAACAAAACTAAAAGTTAATAAATTGAAAGAGCGTATTGGTCCAGTCGTGGGATTCCACGACTAAGTTACTACTCATTAAAGCATTTTTTGTCCTTCCAAAAATAACTAAGTTTATCATAATTAGAATCATGCATTTTAACATCTTAACAATAATAAATGTAGCAGTTAATCCTTTCTAACATCTTAAGTTTTTTTCTTTCTTTACTAATTGGTATGCCTAGAAATAAGAGATGCATTACTCAGTATACGATATCGATCTGTATTTTGGTTAAACCTAAAGCATAAATGCTTATGACAATTGGAAGACAAGTTTGAAGTTAGAAGATAGAAGTTTGTTTTTAGTGTTTTAATTCTTTTTTTTTTGTGTGTGTGTTGGTGTTGTTGGGATAAATGAACATGAAATGTGGGAAAAGAGTTATACAATATGATTGGATACACATGTTGGTCTTGTCTTTCTCTAGTTCTTGAAACCACACTACCATATGATTGCAGAATTTTTTGTTATTTCTATATTCTGATTCTTTCTCTCTTTGTTTTCTTTTTATCAAGCATTCTGGATTTATATATAGCTCTCTCTCTCTCTCTTTTTTGTTTTGTGAAGAGGGAAAGGGAAAAAGACTTGACATATAATGAAAATGTGCAGAAGGAGGGAGAGCACATGTCATTACATGTGATTCTAATAATTTAGATTCTTTCATTTCACTGTAAAAAAAAAAGATAGACAAAAGCATTTTCCTCTGCCAAGTTCCTCCTCTTTATCTTTAAATTTGGAAAAAAAAAAGAAAAAAAAAACACAAATTATTTTTCCTTGCAAGAATAGCTATATTTATTTGAAATTGGAGACTTGCTAGTGAGAGTAGTGTGGCTACATAGTATAAAAAGATATATTTAATCAATTAAAATCTATCTGGCAATTGCAGTGAAACTTGTACAGTTTTATACGACCTCCCTCCTTTATTCTATGTTTCAATCATTCAACATAGAGGAGATACAGGTTTCAACCAAAGTTTCAAAGTCTTCTTTCTATTGAAACCTGCAGGGATCAAGTTCTTTTTAAAATCTACGAAGCAGCTAAACCAAAAAATTATTATTCTAATCTCAAACTCTCTCAAGTCTCAACTATAGATCCAAAAACATTACACGAGATTTAGCCAAATGTTGTAATATCTACTACAGCTTGGGTTATGGGAATGTAAAACATATCTTCCTATTTAGCTCAAACTTCAAAAGCGTTGAATTTGAAGATTAAATCTCTCAACAATATTAAAAACAGTAAATCAGACAGATTAACATCATCAAATCCTAAACTCTTTTTAAATCCGACATGACAAGGGACGCTGATGAGAAGCATTGTTCCCATCTCAGTTATCGAATGAATTTGGAAGCACAATCACATGTAGCCCAGTGGATAAAAGAAGAAATAAAAAACTATCCCAACTCGAAATGACCCTATTGGGGTACCTAACTAGGCTTGCAAGTTGGTTTACAAGAATATAGTAGAAAAGGAAGTTTCATCTTTATTGATTTAAGTAGATTTAAGCAAAGAGACATAAAGTTATTCAAATCCTTGAAACAAAACAGTCACGACTCACGCCTAAAACATCCCAAACTCAGCAGACTTACTTAAAACTCAGCAGATTACAAAGTAGAGACTCTGACAGACTTTTCAACTCTTCACTTAGTTGCTAGATTGACGCAACTCAGGTCGAACAAAGTCTGCATCAGCTGGCACAGAGATATCAACGGTAGGCCTCAACTGTGCGCAGACCTCTATGGCACCATGGACTGGGTCTGAGAAGAAGTTGCTGATCAGGTCTCTGTTGATCGCTGCACCACTGTCCACAGCCACAAGCGCTTGTTGGGTCAGGATGTAGTCAAACCGTGGGGCCCATTTCCTCGAACCCAATCTCGCTGTGGTCGAGCAGTTGTCAACCATGAAGGACACTCCCCTGGCGTGCATAAATGGGTTCAGAGAGTCCACAGATTCTATCACACTCTCGTTGATAATTTCTGAGTAAGAGTGACCTTTCTTTCTCAAGATCTCAATCTACACAAAACCCAGTAGAAACCATGATTTATATATTCTGAGAAACGAATCCAGAACAATCCAAGTTGACGATAAATATATTAAAAGCAAATTCTTGTTTATAAGAACTTTTGATTAAAAATATATATTATAAAATCTGAATGAAAATTGAAACTGAACCTACTCTGCATGAAAATCCAAACCAAATCAAAACAATGGTGGGCACACCAGATATAAACGCAAACATACCTGAGCCATCATAAGTGCTACATAAACTCCAGCGGTGAAGGGATATAGTGGACCCAAGTCACCGGCGGGTCTGGACTTCCTGACGCTTTCACCCACCTTCCACATTCTTGTCTGATCAATATTTCCCATTGGGAATGCTGGCAAGCCTTCTTTTTCCTGTTACAAGTTAGAGAATCCATCAAAATTCCTGCACAAACTGTGTTTTTGACTAAACGCACCAAAAGGAAGGTTCAGAAGAGTCATTACATAGAAGCGACGACCGGCTAAGACAACACTTCGGATTTCACTGCCACTTTGTACATCCTCGTAACATTCATAGAGAATCTCCATACAAGGATAGAAGGATGCGCTGTATGCAGTCTCAAAATCTTTTTTACCTTCTTCAGACAAGGAGTTGTACACAGCCAACATTCCCTGATGTTCACAATTCATCAGAAACAGATATCAATTTTTTTATTCCGATTCGGTCTCTACAGATACTAACCTGGGTAGAGATAGTCCTTGAAATTGTTCCTGTGATACATTCTACTGTGTTCTTGTAAGCCAAGTCTTCGCTCATCCCATTTTCGGTGTACCTTCTAAATAGGGACTCCACAATTCCATGAACAGCACCAAGCAATATGCCTTTTAACAGAAAAGAAGAAGATATGTTTAAGTATGGGATTTGAGCGATAGAAAGACAGTTCTACTAGAGGCCCAACTCACCTCTTTCTCCAAAGATGTCACTCCTGTACTCTTGTTCAAGAGTAGTAGCAAAAGTAAAAGGAGAACCAAGAGCTACAGACCATCCCAGTGCAACATCTGCGGCTCTACCATCAACATCCTGCCAACAGAATAACATAAGTAGTGGTGAAACAAATGTAACACATGAGGTATCAGAGCTTTCGCACCATTGAAACATAAAAAAATAGATTTTGCAGTGGATATAAAGAGATAGAAAACCTGGTGGACTGCAAAACTGGCGTTAATTCCAGCACCGTTGATTTCTTTTCCTTGGACGTATAGCCTCCTCACAGAAGGACCCATTCCCTTAGGGCACACAGCGACCACACTGAAGTTCTTTGGGAAATCAAGTCCCAAGGACTGTAAATGCCCTAGTAGAAACCCGTGTGATAAACCAAGAATGCTATTTGGCTTCATGTGAGCGAATATTTTCTCATAGTTATCAGCCTGCAAAAACAGGATACAGTAAATTCAATGTATACAGCTAAGAAAGCAATACCTCAACAAGTTTAAGATATATTTGTAGCAAATTGTAATTACCTGAGCAGCATCAGAGATCAACAACAATACAAGATCGCTGCCAGAGATAGTTTCCCAGATATCACCCAAAGTACCACTTTCTTCAGTGAAGCCAGCGCTACGTGCCTCCTCAAATGAGCGAGACCCTTTTCTGAGTCCAATCTACGTTAAAGTAGAAAAAAACAAGAAACCATGTCAGAGCATAGCCTTTCAAGTAACAGCATAAAGCCAAATAAATAAAAGCAAGGAGTCAACTCGGCAGTTGAAAGAAATACCTTAACAACAATGTCAGACTTTGCCTCTACAAGTGAATCTCTCAAATTCTGAGCTTGGGCAGGTCCCTGTACATAGATTACGAGCTTAGTACAACAGATGTAGGAAAAAGAACTTGCAATATGAAAATGAACACATTTATTTCCTTTTTCTGACCAATTTCACTTTACATGCCGTAACCAAGATTCCATATCCACAATCAAAAGTACAGAACACACGCACAAAATAAAGAGACCCAAAAAAGTAAATACCTGAGATCCCCAACCAATCACACCAATCTGCTTAACCCCCTTGAAAGCATCTGGAAGATGCTTGAATAAATCCCTTCCTCCTCTCACAATGTACTAAACAATCATTAGCAACAAAAATACAAACATTAGCAACAATCCAAAAACACATCAGCCAATCATTATAGAATTCCCACACAAATTCGAATACCTCTTCGTAACCAGCAAGGGATACTTTCTCCTTTTTGAAGACAGATGTCTCGAAGTCGAGCGCGAGAGGGGCCTTGACCGCTGACGAAGAAACCATACGAGCGGCAAGGGAGGAACCAGTGGCGGAACCGACACCATTTCCAGCGACGGTAGCAGTTAACGACCTCAGCGACTTGGAAGAAGATGAAAGGAAACCAATATTGGGCAGAGCCAAGGTTCTAGCTTTGGAAGACCTTAGGGTTTTGGATGAAGATGGACATGAAAGGGAAGGAGCGATGGATGAAGTCGCAGCCGCCATTTTCTCAGAGGTAGCAAATTGACTGCGCAAAGAGAAGAGAGCTCTCAAATTAGGGTCACACACTCACAACTCACAAGTGGAGAAATTTATTAATAAGCACACACATGTTCACCTACTCGTCACCACCAAGAGGCAGATATTGCTACTAAAAAAACAAAATATCAAAACTAAAATTATAGTGGGCTATGGCCCATTATTTAAGGCCCATTAAGGGTAACTTATAATTGCTCTTTCTCTATTGGTTGGTTGATCCATCAACTGCTTCTATGTTGACTTCCTAGCGGCAGACGAAGCACACGTGTCTGGTGTCTACTCAAGGTTTAGGAAAGTCAATGTAATGGACGGTTGAGATTAAAAGTAATTAATAAGATCGGATGGTTTTGAGGTAGCTCAGATCGGAGTTATGGTACACTAACAAAAACACACCTAACGCGAAACCTCTACGTTTCTTCGTCTTCGCGACTTGTGAGATTGTTGTAATAATCACAGTTTGGCAAAGACTTCCATTAAGGATTTTACGGGTGTGTTTGATCGATTCAGTCATCTGGGTTTCTCTCTATTTCTGAGATGGATCAAGCTTCGTCTTCTTCGAGTATGAAGGAAGACACGAAATCTTCCACTGATCCTGTGACCGTCGATGATAACGAGGAGAGAGAAGCTATAGAGATTGCTCTGTTCCAAGTGCCTGAATGCTATGTTTATTTGGTAAATTTTCCAACTTTATTAGGTTATAATGAGATGGGTTTTTTGGATAATTTGATCGATTTTGCAACTTTTATGCTCAAGTTAAATCCTTTCTTTGTAAGTTCACTTGTTGATGATTTTTGGAGAGGGTTTTGGATCTGATCATAAGTTAGAACGTAATTTTGAATCTGGTGGTATAGATTTCTTTCAATGGTGTTGAGAAAAATGATCTTAATCTGTGCATTTGTTGAAGTTGATTACTTGATCGCCCAAAATTTTGTCTCAAGCTGGTTTAAGGGCGTGATGTATTGCACATTTTTAACTATCAGAAAGATTTTTGTAAAAGAGTGTGATGAGAAGTTATCTATGGCATGCTAAGTGGTTTCTTGATGAGGTCTCTGAAACAGTAGATATAATCTTGAAATTGTTACATGTTCATTCCGTTACAAGATGTTTAGAGATCCCACATTTGGTTGCCTTGGACTCATTAGACATTGCGAAGTGCTGTTATTTAGATTTGCTAAAAAAAGCTTTTGACGATAATGCGCTCGTTTTTACATATCCTACCTTTGAACTATCTCTGTTTACTTTATGGGACTGTTACAGATAGTAAGCTCCTCTTCCTTTTTCTTTTGTTTGTGTGTCTATGCAGATACCTCCAAGGAAAAGCGCAGCTTCCTACAGGTTCTTTCTTGCCTTCATTACAGAAAATCTCTAAAGTATTCTGATCTCTGTAGTTAGGAGATTCTTACAAAACCAGTTTTCCTGCAAACCCTTTTGGCTTAGCAAATGATCTAAAAAGCTTGGGATAAATCTTATTGAATCAAGATGGTCATTTTTCTAGTTACATTCACTTTTTATCAACTCAACTGGGCTTGCTATGCTAAATATTTTTTGAAATAGTGTATTGAGTGATCCATTGGAAGATGGAGATAGACATCAGCTGATACGTTTTATAAAATTTGATTCTTGCAGAGCAGATGAGTGGGACGTGAACAAATGGGCATGGGAAGGAGCTTTGAAAGTGGTGAGCAAAGGAGAAGAATGCATTATTAAACTTGTAGATAAGACCACAGGGGAACTTTACGCTCAGGCTTTTCTACGAGAGGGCGATCTTCATCCAGTAGAAGCCGTAATCGACAGTAGCAGGTAACAAAGTTGACCTTAGAACTTAACTTGGTCTTCTTAATTGTTCTCATGATCTGCAGATAGTCTAACAAAAACAATCTGTCTTGCAGATATTTTGTTCTCCGTGTTGAAGAAAAGATAGGTACTCACTTACCATGTAGATATAGAGATGTTAACTTGTAGTACTTGTTTTGAGTTTCATTCTTTGAAGCAATGCAGATGGTCGTGTTCGCCATGCTTTTATCGGGATCGGTTTCCGGGAAAGAACAGAAGCATATGATTTCCAAGCAGCACTCCATGACCATATGAAGTAACATTCCACTTCCAATTTTCAAGTGTTCTCTTAGAATCTTTCTGTTGAAACAACTAAATCACGTCTGGAATCTGATCTCCCTCTCTCTTTACTAAAGGTATTTGAACAAGAAGAAAACAGCAGAAGAAATGGAACAACACTTTCAAAACACTTCTTCTGTCGATTACAGCTTAAAGGAAGGAGAAACAATTGTTCTCCAACTTAAAAATGTAAGATTGACAGTTATTATCTGGATACATTTTCCAAAAGTAGTTTGTTTGTTCACATCAAAATGAATAAAACAGAGAAGCGACAAGGATACAAAGTCGAAAATGGTAGAGAAGAGTCTGAGCAATCTTTCCTTGGAGGATAAAGGCAAGTCAACAGAAACCATTCCTTCAATCATCCCGCCACCTCCACCTCCTGGACCGCTTTCCCCTGTCACAACTGCTCAGAAGTCCCCGTCAAGTCTACCACCAAGCCTCAGCCTCCAAAGATCGCCTAAGCAACAAGATTTAGATACAAAGCGTGAAGAAGAAGGGATAAATGAAGACCAAGAAGGCAAACATGGAGGCGTTGAAGATGCACCAGATGATGACTTCGGAGATTTCCAAGCTGCGGGTTAAACTTGTTATCTTTTTAACATACGCAAAGAATCGTTTTATAAGTAATGTGGCTGATCAAGTTTGGATTGCTTGCTACTGAGAGAGGTCATTTTCTGTATAATTGCAAAAGTCAAGTTTATTTCTATGAACTTGTGATTAGATAGATAAACTCTTGAAATTTTCATTTTGACCATATAAAAATATGAACGTTGCAAGAGAAACAAAGAAATATCAAAATTTACACTTCTCTTGCTTAAACTACTGAAAAGAGACGACATTGAGAGTGCTTTTCTGTTCTTCTGCAAATCTATTGCAACCATCAAGAAACGTACGCCATACAGGCGCATCTGCAGGGAATGGCATTCCATGAATCAGATGCTCGGCTTCCTTTAGGTAACCATTTCTAGCCAAAAGATCAACAGCACAACGATAGTGATCCATTTCCGGTTCAACACCATAACGCTTCATTTTCTGAAACAAATCCATTCCTTCTTTTACCATTCCACCATGTCTACAAGCAGTTAGGATAGAGATGAAAGAGACACGATCTGGCTTAAAACCTAGAGATAGCGATTCCTTAAACATTTTAAATGCCTCATGTCCATATCCATGGATGCCAAGAGATGAAATCAATGTCGTCCATGTAATGATATTCTTCTCTCTTGTTTCTTCAAAGACTTTGATTACACTCCTAATGCTTCCGCATTTCCCGTACATGTCAATCAATACATTGCAAACAAATGTGTCGGCGCGGCTGAAATCTGTTTTGATGATTACACTGTGAATAGAACTCCCAAGCGTAAGGTCACAAAGCTTAGAACTCAAACTTAAGATACTAACATATGTGTAATTATCAGGGAGAATGTTTGATTGAAGCATGTGTTTGAAAAGTTCAATAACTTCTCTGTAATTATCAGAACGGGAGCAAGCTGCTATTGCAATGTTCCAAGATACAGTGTCGGGTTGTTCTAGTGTCAAAATCAGCTTCACAGATTCATGGTACTGACCTATTCTGCTATACATTCCGGCAACAATGTTGAGTGGGATGACAGAAGATAGCCCGCTAGAACAATCCAGCAGAAGAAGAGCATCATTCATCAGTTGATTCTTGGCGTAGGATCTCATAAGAGTGTTTAACACATAGACATTATCTTCATATCCCATTCTCACAATTACAGAGTGCAGCTGTTGTAACTCTATGACACAACATGGTTTAAGGGCTGTTGAAAGAGTATACTCAGTTGGCCTGAAACCCATTTGAAGCATTTGAAGAAACAAGGAGAGACAAATGGAACCATCTTTATTGGCATAACCCCAAAGCAATGTATTCCAACAAACAATATTCTTATCACGGACAGAATCGAAGCAGAAGCGGGCATCTTCCAGACTACCACATTTAACATAAAAGTCGATTAATGCATTCCCTAAAAGTATGTCAGTTTCACAGCCATTCTTGATTAGCGTGCCATGGATCTGGCGTCCAAAACTAAAAATCTGCATATGAGAAGACGCACTAAGAACACTAACATATGTACCTTGGTTAGGGGAAAACCCATGCTCTGGCATACTTACAAATAGTTTGAGAGCTTTTAACGGGTTCTCACCTTTGGCTGTTGCACCAATTATGGAGTTCCATGAAACTACATCCCAGGAACCTGCCTCCTCAAATATTCTCTCTGCCATATGCGTATTGCCACATTTTCCATATCTACTGATGAGAGAGTTAACGACGGAAATTTCACAAGCTAACCCTCTTTTCATTGCTGAGCAATGCAACTGTTTGCTAATTTCCAAGTCATTTTCACAAGATACACCTGACAATACACCCAAGAAAGAGCAATCAGATAAACAAGCCCTCATCCTAACAAGCTCACGGAATAGAAACATGCATTCTTTGAGAAAACCACGATGCCCAAACAAAGACATCATATGGTTCCATGTTTGCAAGCTCTTAAACGGCATATCTTCAAAAAGCTGTTTCGCCATTTCCAGCAACTCAAGCCTCCCATACAAACACAGCAAACCAGTACCAACAAATGCATCAGCCATAAACAAGCCATACTTAAAGCTCAAACCGTGTAACTGAGTTCCAGCATAAACATCCAACGATGGGCAGGACAATAAACCACTCACTGTTGACTGATTTGGCAAATATCCAAAATATCTCATATCAGAGAATACATCCCAGGATTTCTCTGCATCCCCGCATCTGCTGTACCCTCTAATGATCGTGTTGAAAGACACCTTGTTTCTCTCAGGCATTTGATCAAACACTTTGCCTGCAAAAGACACCTCGCCCAGCTTCTCATAAAGACAGATAATGTTGTTGGAGATAAAAACAGGCTGCTGAAGGGCAGAGCATAATGTGATGGAGAGAGCGTGAAGAGCTTTGGTCCTTGCAAAGGAAGGAGCTTTTCTGCAGACATTGAGTAAACTAACTAGACGGTCGTTGTGATTGACGAGATCTCTACAGCTGAGGCTCATGCAGAGGATACTGAAAACAGAGTACTTCCCAGATCGATCTCAGTTCTAAAAAGGAACTACTTTTTCTGCATCATGAAGAAAGTTGTGAAGTTTTCTTTTAAAAGGATTACCAAGAACAAAAGTTTCAAGTTCAGAAATCAGAACCAGAGGGAACTCTAAACCAATACCGGCTGGTTCAACTCAACCACAAGATCACGGTTTGATTTGACTATTTTGAACATGGTATAGATTGAGACATATAGAAATTTTAATATTCCATATATACTACTAAGTTGCTGACCAAAAAAAAAAAAAAAAAATAAAATATATATATATATATATACTACTAAGTTTTCTTTTTTTGTTTTTTTCAAAATTTGAGATGCAAAGTTTAAATGTTATTTTCAGGAGAAAATATTAAAAAAAAAATTATTTTAATACCATAATTCAACTTATTTATCATTTCCAATGATATGTATCAATTTTTAAAAAGCTGTTCTTACTTCCCTTCTATCTTCTTCTTACATTTCTTAGATACCTAATATCTGTATAAGATTGGTTTACATATCAGATATAAATTCGGTAAAAGAAATAGAAGATAAGAGCAATTAAACTGAGACATCGCAACCCAACAACTTTTGAATCTTATCACATATTTTTTTAAAATCGATCAAGTTGTTTTCCAGATACACTTGAATCCACTCCAGATTGGCGTCCTTTTTTACTTTCTCTTTCGGACCCATAGTCCTCAAGATTTTTGCTGTCCTATACGCCTCCCAATGTAGTTTGTTGTGTACCATTTCCAAAGACTTCTTCTCTTCCATTGTTAAATCAATTTTCAATTCTTGTATGCCTTTGACGGCTTTCTTCAGATCTACCATAGAAAGATTAACAATATCAATCATAAACATTCACTACAAAGAACAAAAGAACAAAAGAACAAAACAAATTGTTAATTACCATCATATCTCAATCGGAATTCAGCTTCCACAACGCTTTCGAAAAGTTGTGTGCGTTCTTTATTTGCGCTCATCTTAATCGCTTTTTTACTTCAAAATATATATTTCTTTTTGCTAAAAGTTTGAGGTGTTATCTTGTAGCGTCTTTCTTTTACTAGTTATATAGAGCCTTTGAGGCTTCTCAAAGAAAACTGGGTTATCAATCATGCGCCGAACCACAAAGAATGGAAACTATAGCCTCTCATAGTCAAAATAGAAAAAAATATATTGGATGCATAAAGATAGAAAAAAATCTTCAAATTTGATTTAGTGTGTATACATTATTTGTTTATTTCTTTACTTTGTTCAAAATTTTAAATTCTTAATAGTTGTCTAAAAAAAGATAAAAGTTTTCCTAGTTGAGATTTGAAAAGTATTCAATGAGAGTTGAACCTTATCAATTCATTACCTATCTTAAAACTAGTCAAGTCAAATAAAACAAAAGTTATATAGAAACCCTGTAAATTTAATATTTTTAAATTCGAGTAAACCTTATAGAAAGTGAACTTAGTAAATCCACATTTTAAGAAAACCAAACCAAAGTTTTCACAAGTCAAACAAATATTAATTTGGTTTTTGATCCCGTGATAGCTTAGCAAACCAATACGAAAGTTAAAATTAACATGACAATTCGGACGATGTTCAAATGTGCTTCTTTCATCAACTTCATCAATGTTTAAATTAAATTGATAAACGAAAGTACCCAATGCTTTTCTCTTTTGTTTTGGGGTAAGTTGTTGTAAGTATCACATCTTAGAAGAACAAAATATGTTTAGTCCAAAAATAATATGAAGAAGAAGAAGAAAATATGTTAATTTTGAAGTAATCACACCTCTCCTATTGGGGTTTGTCAATTAACAACGTTTTTTTTTTTGGTTTTAAGTCATCAATCTTATTTTCCTAAGGCTTAAGACGAGTCCATAAATCTTTGATTTGTCTCTTGTTAGTAAAGATTTGTAGATTTGCCTTATTATACTATATGTTACACCAAAGGAACCGAAAAAACTCAAACAAAAAAACTTTCATTCTTTGAGCGCCAAAACCAATTTTTTCATGAGGAAGAGAAAATCAATTTTAATATTCTACAATGTACATAAATATTTTATTCTTATTTGTCTTCGAAGAAAAATAAAAATATTAAAGAAAAAAATAAAAATCGATGTTTTGATTGATTTTTTCCATATTCTGAGCGTAAGAATCGATCTTTTAAAGAGGATTCCTCCAAGATCTCTCCTCCCACATCTCTTAATTCTACAAACTTAGATTTCTCGATTCCATCTTCTTCTTTTTTGTTAATTCGATTTTGGATCCAACTTTGGTTTTACTACGACTACTACTACTACTACGACTATAGTTTATATATATATATATATTTATATATATTTTTGGTTTGGGTTGTGAAGAAGAAGAAGAAGAAGAAGACATTTCATTTCTAGGGTTTCTAGAGATTCGACGGGTTTTTGGGTCAAGTAAATGGTGGATCAGCCAATCGTACGCTCCACTTCATTAGGTCTACAAGGAGAATATACATCTAATCAAGGTCTTGGTTCGATTCTGAATCTCTGCTGCTGCTGCTTCGTTAGTGTGCGACGACCATTACCAGGTGTTATTGAAAAGCAATGCTGAGCGTGATCCGAGTGCATCTACCTTCTGAAATTCCCATTGTGGGCTGTGAATTGACTCCTTACGTTCTTGTTCGTCGCCCCGATAAGACCCAGGCCAC